CCCCCCACACCTTCCCTCTACCGAGCGTCATAACTTATGCAAAAGTTTGCCGGTCACTGTTAATTGTCTCAACCCCAATTGTAGTCGATGAATAATTATTGGTGCAAACACAAGTACTACTATTGATCCGTTCTAATGAGGCCCGAGGGTCCGCCGGGTCGCTACGGGTGTCTCTCCCGGCCCCCCGGCCCGTCCTGGTCGCGCACCGCTACGCTCCGCCACGCTCCGCCACGCCACCGCGCGCCAGCAGAATCGTTTTTGAATCTCTGTGGAGTGCGAGTGGTGTCTGCCGGAGCTTTCTCTCATCTGCTCACCTATGTACACACTCGTCCCCGCCTCTCACTTCACCGCTCTTGCGACGCTTTTCTTTTTGTTGTCCTTCTTTTTCTCCTCGTCATCACCCATCCATCCCCTCCTCCCCTTCTTCATCACGTTTTGCCTCCTCCACGCCCCCCCCCCCAACTTCCACTCGAAGATCAATCGGGTCAATCAATCATTAATCAACGTCAAACCGTTGCGATCGCGCGCTGTTCGAGCTGTCCAAGAGGGAAAATGAACTTCAAAGGGCTTCCAGCGACGTTTCGTTGGTTGGGTTTTGGTTTTGGTCACTTGGAAAATCTTTTTCCCTCCACGGTCGGCCCCCCTTCCCCACCCGACTACCACGCTCTCCCCCTTTCCGTCCGGCCGTGCATACGTATATCGACCACACCTGAGAGAGCGACCAACTTCACATTCCAATGTCACGTCGTTTTATTATTTTTTCACACATTGTGTTATTTTTCGAGGGCATTATACAGTCCGGGGGTACATTAGTGTGCGTCGTGGAAGGTCTTTTACGATGACTGTATGAGAGGGAGAGAAGGAGGAGCGGAGTGGGAGATTGATGGGTAGGAGAAGTGAGAGAAAGAGAGGTGGCCAGGCGCGTAGGCTCAGATCGGATCAATCAGTGAACGCCTGCAGGAAAAAAAGAGGTTCAGTCATGGAGCGGATCGTGAACGCAGACGGTACAAATTTGAGACCAGACTTGTCCTAATTGCCTCCGTTATCTGGAAATGTTCCAAAATGGTCTAAACTAGTATAAATCGTGCCAAAGCATTTGTTTGTGACGATTCGACAGCGTGCGTGTTACACAGCGTCGCTCTGGATTCGCGAAACGCGCTCGCCAATGCGGCGATAAAGCGCAGCGCCCGGCCGCTCATCAAGATAGAGAATAAAATGCGCGCGTTAATTCTTTCGCTGATCGTTAGCGGCGCTGCGGCCCCTTGCTTACCACGCCAACTTTACTCCACAATCCATAAAAGGGTTTCGATTTCCGGCCGGACCGCGGCCGCACAGCCATCGCTGCCGCTGCCGCTGCCGCTCGCCGTGCCGTGGGCCCCTGCGGCCCTGCGTGTCGTATGCCGCCCGGGCGTGGAGCGGCGCGGCGAACGCCGTCTTAATGCCGTAATAACTAACGCAAATAAAACTTATTCCCTCCTCCTCCTCCTCCTTCGCCCGCGCGGGCCGAATTCCGATACGACAAGACCCGGGGGTTATTGTGCGGGCTGCCAGCTCAGCCATCCCGACTCAGACCGACCAGTACAGTCGCGCTTTTTTATTTTTTCATTTTTACTCTGACAACTTTCTTCCCCCTCTCCGTCGTGACTTTTCGAACTCCCCGGCCTTTCCCCGCGGGTTGCTGCGTACGTTTCACCCTGCTAGGCTCCCTCGCCACCCTTGGCCAAATCACACACAGGCCTCGCTTTTACCGCCGCATATCGCATTTTACAGCGCGGGTAACGATCTGCTCGGGGCGGACGTATTCCGGGATTCTCCGGGCTGCGGAGGGCGTGGCGTGGCGGGGCGTGGCGGGGCGTGGCGTGGCGGGGCGTGGCGGGGGCGCACGGGCGCGCGGGGCGTCGTCAATCATTAAGGCCCCTGCGTGGGGTAATGAGGCCGTAAATACTACAAGCGCCCAACAGCGTGGACATCGGGACGACAGACAGGATACATGTGTTATGAGACAACTCCCTTGTTTGGCCTCGAGATTTCTTGTTATCCTTTCCCTATCCATCCTTCTCTTTATTCCGCTCATTTCATTTCCCCTCTCTTCCTTATACTCTTGCGCGCAGTTTTTCTTTTCTTCTTTTTTTTTTGCGAGCCGTTTTGCACCCACGCGGCGGCGGATGCCAAGCAACGCTCCAAATCTATCACCTCCACTACCTTCTCGTGCCATCTGCCGCATTTTGATCTGATTTCGGCCGACACAGTTCCGCGCGTGTTGGTCCCGCCGCTGCTGTTTGCGGACCGCTTTTAGTGTCGCCCGCTGAGCCCCGCCGCACACGCGTGCGTGTCGCCGCTGATGAGCTTAGGCCGACCGAGAAACGTGATTTTATGCCCCAAAAGTAGACTTGCCGCGCCCCAGCTGACCGTGAGGGGGTGGTGGGTGTGCGCCCCCCCCCTCACCTGTTCAAACAGCTTGGCGACCTTCACCCTCGCAGGATCTCCTCTTTGTCCTGGACCGCCGCCGGCCTCCCCCCC